GACATCGAGCGAATTTTTATGTTTTTTGTGACAACTGTTTTGTTTTAAATTTATAAACTGTGTTGTTTTTGGTATGGTGAGATATTCAGAGTATGGCTGCAAAGGCCGAAGCGAGAAAAAAGTGGCTGGAATTACATTTCACAGGTAAAAATCGATACACAACTTTTGTTATGTGGTCATAAAATGTACATTTTTTTCATTATAGCAGTAAAAATATGTAAAATGCTTTTAATATGTCTTGTACCACATCCAAACCAAACTATTTTTAATAATTCCAAATAGTATTTTCCAAAATCCTGTATTATAATTAATGTTTGAAACTATAAATATTGCTACTCAGACAGGATGTCACCAGTGGCGTAGGGAATTATAATCAGAGAAATACAATTTCTGCAATAAACATTTATTTATATATTTTACATGTAAAAAAATGTATAAAGTATTGTTATCAAATATGGAAAATTATTGTAAACTATAAAAAAATGAAAAATTCTAGTGATAAAAAATCTACATGTATAGTTATATAAAACTTAAATTTACCTGCCAAGATTTGTTGGGGATGGACAAACTTGTGGTGGGCTACTTGTTACTACATACATAATAATAATAATAATAGCTCCCGTATATAGCGTTTAACGCCTTGGGAGTAGCAAGGTACAGCTTGCTATACTAGAGCCGTTCGGTATACAAGGAAGGTAATGTGGCTAGCACTACGCTTCAACCGCCTATTATTACCTCAGGATTGTAAATCCCAAGTACACATTTAAGGCTGAGTACGTAAGTAAGTAAGGCTAGGTACCCAAACTATTTTTATTTTAATAAAAATAGTCGGCTAATGAAATGCCGGGTGTGGGAATCGAACCCACACCTTGAGATTGGTAGACGAGAGCCTATACCTCTACGCCACCGGGCACCTTGACTACATACATATATTTTTTTAAATATTCTTTCAAAAAATTTGCTAATTTAAGTGTATAATAATAGTTTCAGTGAGTAATTAATAAAAATTTAAAAATAAATAAAATAACACAAAGCTTCTAGAATTGTTTTATTTTTTTGTGAATAAATTCGGATATTCTTAAAAATAGGATATTCTTATGATTGAAGGTAACAAATATTAAAAATTACATTATTTATTGAATCCGTACGCAAGTGTAAAGGGTAATGGCTAGATTCATTATTATACCGCATGGTCGAAAAAAAAAACGACGTCCAGTTGGCTTGTAAATGACGATTGATGACATTCCCCATATAATTTGACATATAAAATGACAGCGATCTTCATTTCATAGCCATCGCTGACGCCGTCTTTTTATGTAATTTTATATGTAGAATTATATGGGGAATGTCATCGATCGTAATTTACAAGCCAACTGGATGTCGTTTTTTTTTCGATTAAACGGTATAATAATGAATCTAGCCAATTCTCTTCACACTTGCTTACGGATTCAATATTCAATGAATAATGTAATTTTCAATATTCATTTGTGAAATTGTCATTTCCAAACACACAAGACGCCGTTTTTTTCGATCATACAGTATATATGTATATACACGTTTAAAACATATGTTATTACATTATTTTTTATTTAATTATACATTATACACACGTTAATAAATAAATAATTGTCTTGATAATCAGTCCACTGTGACTGTTAAATAAATTTTGCATTATCGACTTAGATATTCTAATATTATAAAGGTGAGACTATAAAATAGAAAATTCGGTATATGCATTACTCAAAAATGAACGATATATTGTCTACGTTTTAATAAATATTTTGTACCGTCTAGGTACAAGCTAATTTCTGATGCTACGCCATTGGAGAATTTCCCTCTCTTTCCTTGTCTAAGATCAAAACTTTGTCGCGTGATGCCTAATTTAGGGTGCAGCCACACTAGCCTAAAAACGGCGTATCGGCGTAACGGCGTAACGACCTTGAATCAATTTCCAGTAATTCTATTGGCTGAAATTTTTGACAGATGAATTTGACAGATAAAATTTCTGACAGATGAATGTTTCAGCCAATAGAATTACTGGAAATCTATTCAAGGTCATTACGCCGTTACGCCGATACGCCGTTTTTAGGATAGTGTGGCTGCACCCTTAGGTGAACTGATGGCCTGGCAGCAGGGTTCGGAAAACTACATGTTACTTTTAAAAACTACATAAACTACATTACATGTAGTTAATGTAGTTTATGTAGAGGGTGTAGTTTATGTAACTTATGTATGTAACTTTCAAATATCAAAGGTTTGAGGTGAGGTTTTAATAAGTTGAAGCTTTAAAAACACATAATGTATTTAAGAAAACAGAAGAAATATGGCTTTAAATATAATATTTACATCATATTATCTCTATTACACCTCATACTAACAAAAATTATTCATAATATCAATACATAGTTTATTAACGTAGTTTCCATGTAGTTAATGAACGCGAAAAGACGTAGTTTTTGAAGAAAAACTACACGTAGTTAATCAGGTAAATTACGTCTTAATTAACTACTTCCGAACCCTGCCTGGCAGCACGAAACTCTCGGCGATATACGAGGTTTAATTTTATTAGTCCCGACGATATAACTTGTCGACTACGCTACGGGGGGCGATTATAAAATTGAATAGATTGATATTGATATTTGCAAAGGCAGCAAAGGTTACAAAACAGTACTATTTTCGTAATTTTTGATTTGGGTTTTGACAATTATTTATGTTGTTTGTAATGAAACGACATTTTCATTTAGGTATTGATATATTTCAGAAATGATTTAAGGATTAAAATATATAACATATTTACTTAATTTCAAGGTGCATGAAAAATCAAGGGTATTTTTATAAAGTGTTATAAAATAGATTATGAATATGTATTTAAATATTTAAACTAACCTAAAATAAAATAAAATAACGTTGAACTCCCTCTATTAATTCTTTTTTTTTTTAATTATGTTTATTTTTTCTTCTAATCATTATTAGTTATTATTATTAAGAAAGGTGTTTTTTTATATCAAGTTTAGCTGCAAATATACAGGGTGCTACAAATTCGAGGTACGAGCATTGATATCTCGGTAACCGTAATAGATACGAACATGGTTAAATTGGGGCAAAGTTGCGTATTGGGATGTTCACCAAAATGCCATCAAAAAAGTTTTAAAAAGTTCAAGGATTGCTGAGTTTTTTGGAAAAAACTGATTTTTGTGAAAATCAATTTTATTTTTTCCTGTCGTTACTTTTTAGAAAATCAAAAAACTAATTGCACATTCTCATAGCCACTTTATTAGGGCTATCTGATAGTATTTTTGGATTTTCAAATTAGCTGATAATTTGTGGGATACAGAGGCCAACTTAATTTTTTTAAATACGGACCTGCATTTTTTATTTCAGATTTTGAAAGAACTCAGTCTCCTGAATACAATGATATGCCACACTTTATACTTTTGTTTTGTTTTGGGCACCTTAACAACAAAACTGTTTAATTATATTTAAAATAATTTCAAGTCCGACTCTGATTTCTTAAATTATTTAATCTGATTATATTCATCGCAACAATATTGATCAGCGCTAATTAACATTGAATAAGGAAAATCGAGAAATCGGAAGATTCAAATAAATAATATCCAGGTCAGAAATTTAAAGATATTATTTTTAACTTTTTTTATTGTGAATTTGAAATCTCAGCGTGCGATCTAATAATATGCATAATATTAATCGTAGTTATTATAAATAAATCAACTTCTACAAACTAGTTTCTAATGTTCTACATATTCGAAAGGGTTACCACCAGGGTTCGGAAGTAGTTAATTAAGACGTAATTACCTGATTAACTACGTGTAGTTTTTCTTCAAAAACTACGTCCTTTCCCGTTCATTAACTACATGAAAACTACGTTAATAAACTATGTATTGATATTATGAATAATTTTCATTTGTATGAGGTGTAATAGAGATAACATGACGTAAATATTATATTTAAAGCCATATTTCTTCTGTTTTCTTAAATACATCATGTATTTTTAAAGCTTCAACTTATTATAACCTCACCGCAAACCTTTGATATTTGAAAGTTACATACTACTATGTTACATAATGTACATAGGTTACATAAACTACACCCTCTACATAAACTACTTTAACTACATGTAATGTAGTTTATGTAGTTTTTAAAAGTAACATCTAGTTTTCCGAACTCTGGTTACCACCCTCCCTATTGTACAAATTTATTTTTCGTTCAATTTTATTTATAGCTCTTTGAACTTTCTTCTTATACTTCCGAATGCATTTTGTACTCTTTATTGTAAATGTTGAGATGGACTGATTTCACTTTTACAAATGACGTCAAGTACCCTTCAAGTACCCGTCAAGCCCCTTGACGATAGGTCCAGGAACCTCGCTGGACATTATATTGCTCTACCATTTCCAGTCCAGGGAATTGGCTCTACCATTGCCAGTCTTCCGGGAAAAGTATTTGATTATTGTTTATATTATATTAATATTTATATTAATTATTTTATTGCATTAGATTTTCCGTATTCAATGTTTTACCCCACGTCATTGTTAATTTTGAATGCTTATCAATATTGTAACGATGAATAGATTAAATATTAAAAAAAAACAGAGCTTGAGAGGATTTGAAATTAGTTTAAATAAATTGTGTTCAAATGTCAAAAAAAAAATATTAAGTGTGGCACATCATTGTACTCAGGAGGCCGAGTTCTTTCAAAATCTGAAATAAAAAATGCAGGTCCGTATTTAAAAAAATTAAGTTGGCCAAATTATCAGCTGGTCACAAATTATCAGCTAATTTGAAAATCTAAAAATACTACCAGATAGCCCTAATAAAGTGGCTATGAGAATGTGCAATTAGTTTTTTGATTTTCTAAAAAGTAACGACAGGAAAAAATAAAATTGATTTTTAAAAAAATCATTTTTTTTTTCAAAAAACTCATCAATCTTTGAATTTTTTAAAACTTTTTTGAAGGCATCTTGGTGAACATCCCAAAGCGCAACTTTGCCCTAATTTAAACATGTTCGTATCTATTACGGTTACCGAGATGCTATGATAATGCTCGTATCTCGAATTTCGAATCTCTCGTCGAGATAATGCTCGTATCTCGAATTTGTAGCACCCTGGAACAAATACATATGGTTCTATTTTTATAACGTTAATTATGTTTTATATGTGGTGTTATCATTTCCATTGTCTCTGATGGTTGCAGCGATTGCGAAATCTGTGAGTTTTTAATAAATATATGTACCTTAAACATCGTTTATCGTAAAACCTACTATATGTTTATATGCTGCAATAATGATCTTTTTTGTGTAAGAATTAATTTAGTAAAACTATATTATCTCTTTTGACAAATCTCTGTATTTGAGTTAAAACCTAAGGTAAAACTTTATATGGGTTTAGTATACCATAGGGATCAAACATTGTTTTTAGTTGCTTCATTATTTTGATACTTCCCGAACTTTTGGAGTAATGAATGTATTTGGGTTTTCTAAAACCAATACCGTGTTCGGCACTAATGCTACCTCTGAGATCTGATGTGTATTCATATACATATGGTTCTATTTTTTTTAGTAACTGTTGAGAAAACTCTCGTGCTGATACTTGAAAATGTATGTTTCCATCACCTAATAAACCAAAAAAATATTATATTATATATTAATAATTATGAATTTATAAAAGGGTCAAAGAACAAAGGATTCGAGGGGCACTTTTAGAAGGATATAACTTAGAACAATTGGTTTGCAGTCTAAAGTCTCGATTGCAAACCAATGAGTGCCCAAAAAACAACAGGTTTAGTCGTGACTGACGTGAGTTAAGAAATAACTACTAATTTTTTAGCGAGTTTATTACTCAAAATAATACATAGAACAATTACTCAAAAAGAAATTGCAACACTGTTGTTTCGAGCTCGATCAGAGAGTAACTTTGTTTAAAAAAGTGTATTTAGATGTATATCTATTTTGGATATTCTTATAAAGAAAATTCTTTGTGATTCCAATATGTCCAATGATGTTATATAGTTTTTAAGGCCTTTTTGTGCAAAGGATGTTGTTTTGTTAATTAACTCATCAAACTGTCCTTATGATGGCAATCCATTTCTCGAAAGCTTGACAAGTTGAAAAGTAGTTTTATTAGCCTATATGGTAATTATTGACTGCATCCTCACTAAAATTAGTAGTTTTTTTGTTATAAGTATATTAAACGGAGAGCTGCTGCTACATAAAAAACCTTATCATCGTTACATGGCCAATTTTTCTTGTGATGTATAGTAGTGGGAATTATCGAATGAATACTATCGAAACAATCGATAGTTGCAATTCATTCGAATAATTCGATACCTAGTAAGAAAACATTCGTCGAAAACTATTCGAATAAAAATTATAGAATAGATGCGTCATCTGCCTTGAAATATTGTATTCTAGTAATTCGGCAGCAAAAAAACATTCATTTATAAAATTCATTCATTTATCAAATTCATTTATTCGTCAGGATCGATTTTAATAAAATATAAACTGGATTTTAGTTGTCGTCCGGCGACGTAGGTTTCTTTCCTAGAAACCCGACAGCGGTCGGTGGCAATGCTATGAAGGAAGCCGGCATCTTTGATTTTTTGCGGTGTCAAATAAAGATAAAGACACACTATTTTTTTTATTGAGGTGCTAGTCACAGAATATACTAACGAAAAAGAAGCCCAAGTTCCTTGTAATAAATCGGTTCCATTTTCGTAACGCCATCTCTCGACATAGCTGACATTATAGGTTAGCAAAAGGGGTGCGGGGCCGGGGGGAATTGTAAAATACACTTTTTTATTTTAATTATTTTTATTCGCTATTTGCAATTTTATTTTTAAAACATATTATGTGAAACAATCACATAATATGTCTTAAAAATAAAATTACAAACGGAAACAAAAGGAATTAAATAATCTGAAGTTTATTGATAAAAAAGTTAGGCTATGCAAATTCATAAGTATATTAAGTATAACCTCTTTGGTATAACATTGTTAAACAAACATTAACAAATCATAATATATCAGATCATAGAACTAAAAAAAGTACTATTACATAAAAACAGGTGATACAATACTTCAAAATTAATTTTAACATAATATCAAAACCGAAAAATCAAACTGCAAACACAACCACACTTATCACAACAGAAATTAACACACACTTCCGCGGCAAATGTCCAAGAAAGACTGATCATTCTGATTGGTCCTGGTCCGGTCGTAGCTCACGTCGTATTGTCGGTAAGCAAAATCCCTGTCCAAAAATTTTGACGATCAGCGCCATCATCCGTCATAATTGGGAAACTTTTGCTGGAACCATTTTTAATATTTCACTTACATGGCCCTGGTGCTAGTATTTACACAGAAAATATATTATGAAGGGCGCTGTTGCCATATATTCGTATTAGTTGGTATTAGCAAAGAATATTATTCTTTAGCATTAGTTAGTTAGGGGTAGTATGTCTATATGTTTTGCATTTTTTTATTAATATTCTGTTGTTACACTGCAATAATACTTTTTATTTTGGATGTAGGAAAATGGTTTTTAATGTTTTTAAGCAAAGACTGGTTTAATAAATAATAATAACAGTAATAATTTGTTATACCTATTAACAACAAAATTTACAATCATTTGATAATATAAACATTTGTGTTAAGTAGTGGCAAAATATAAACAACAAATAGAAGTCAAAAGTATTTATATTAGATCCTATTTAAAAATAATATAGTCTCTAAATGGCAACGTTGGTTTATTAAATAATAATAATTACAGAACTAATTTGTTATATTAACAACAAATTTTAAAATCATGAAATATAAACATTTATTAATTTTCTAAGCATGCAGTGTAATGGAAGGAAAATATAAATAAAAAATTACAAATCAAAATTATTTATATTACTTTGTATTACTTTATATTATTATTTAAAAATAATATTTACTTTTGCTGGCATTTACTTTAAAACATATATGATATATTTCTTCGCAAAAAACTACATGTAAGAGAATTAGCATAAACAAAATACAAACATTGTTAACTTTTTTTTTTAAATTGGCACGTGTAAAACTTTCAATTTAATTTTCTCACCCCAAAATTTGAGTTCGATAACCATTTACTTAACCACATTACTTAAATATGATTATTAAGTTCAACTAATTCATATTATTAAAACATCTAAAATACAAATATGTATTTTTAAAATTAATTGTAAGTTCATCTCATCTCTGTTAAAAATTGCTACTTTTCAAAATTTCCCTTTAAAAAAATGCAATCTAACCTAACCATAATATACCATATAAAATTAAATAATTGAAAGATCGGGCTACGGAAAATCACACAAATTTTCGGAAAAATTTTGACCACTTCGCACACAATCAATTAAAAAAAACTACTATTTTAGTATTTTAAATATACTAAACTACTAATTATATTATGCTAATATATAATATTATAAACTATAATAATATACTAAACTAACTAATAATGCACTGACGCACACAAAAATCAAACGAATACTAAATTTCATTTATCAAAAGCATTCGATAGTCGTGGCGCAACGATAACCATTTAGTCGCACGGCGAGGTTGTCACATATGCTTTAGTATACAAATGAATTAATGATTTTATTCGAATAAAACCATTCGATAGTTGAAATCATTCATTCAGTAACCATTCGATAGTCTAATTCATTCGATAGTTCCCATCGCTAGTGATGTATCCTGTTGTGTAGCCATTGTGAAATAGTCATGTCTGCCAGCGCGATCCCGGGGCTTAAAAAGCCATTGCTTTTTAAATAAATAAACATGACAGCCATTGCAAAAGGGCAGACAAAATAATCGTGGCTCAATCAGCTGTATACAGTTATAAAAAGCGCGATATTACTACTACAATTTTATAAAATGTTAGAACTTTTTTACGTAAAAAAGGTGCTCTTCGTTTAGTTCGAAAAATGAACGGTTTTCAAGATATTTGCATTTAAAGGCCACGACGCATCGATTTTAGTATTAGCGAAATTATAAAATGTAAAGAAATTTCAAATAAATTAATCTTCGGTGATTTTACTAATATTAAAATCGATGCATTCCTTTAAATAGTGATGAGTTGTTATTTAACTATCTGTTATTTTATAACAATTATTTAGAAATAACATAACGCAACCGTTACTACTTCTAAAAAATAACAGATATAAAATAATGATATGTAGAGATCGGCCGCTTGTGAAACGAAAAACGAAGTCGGCGCTCTGCACCGCCACGAAATTCTATGCTGCTCGAAGCAATTCCAAAAAACAACTAGTATGGATGGAAAACATGTTATTTCGTCAACCATCGATACAGGCGGCGAGACAACGGACAACAGAGTGGGGAATGCGCTACGGCGAACGTAGCTGCTTCGGTCGATGCCGTCGATGGTCGTATTGGGCTTGCAACAGCTTAAAAATGATAGGATATAAAAGAAGCAGGTTTTTTGAAACAGTTGCGGGCATAACGCCTGGCGGTCGAGATAACAGGAGTGGGAAAGGAACGCTGCTGCATCGGTCGATTCTCGATGGAGGCTCGCAACGGGTTGGAGAAGCAGAGTTATTTTTTATAAATAACTATAACAGTTTCAACTGTTATCTAAAAATAACAGTTTTGCCCATCACTACCGTTAAACGCAAATACCTTGAAAACCTTTCACCGTTTCGAACTAAATGGAGAGCACATTTTTTACGTAAAAATATCTTAGCTTAATTTTCTGTTATTGAAATTACTGCATCTATAAGGATAAAAAAAGTACCACCAATAGTACCCTCTACCCTAATGGAAAGTACCCTTTCAAGGCTGTTACGAAATTTTACACGATCGCCATTGGCTTTGGTATTAAAATGTGTGCAAGCGTACCAAATTTCAGGAAAAACGGTTTACCAATGTTCTTAAAAATAAACAAAATAGGTATATTATTTCTATTCAACATTTCGAAGGCTGTAACTTCTTCGGGAAGCATTTGAGGCCATATGTTTGGACTTTTTGTTTTATTTTTATCTGTAGAATCACCCACCAAAGTCAGATACACTATTTTTTCACACCCTGTATAATCGTAAAAGTCTGTCCTCCTTAGACCTTTGAATAAGAAGACTAAGGAAGGAGCATATCCAAAAACTTAGGTACACCGCGATGGGCCTCAAATATGGCCGACTTAAATTCCGGTTTATCAGTGTCGTTCTAATTTTATTTAAAAAATGTAAAACTATGATGTAGGGTAGACGTGGGGTAGACTCAATAATTTGTTGTTTTATTTTACGTTGTGAATAAATGTTGGTAGTTATTAAAATTGTTATAAAAATATATAATTCTAATAAAAATAGATAAGTTATAATATTAGGTATTTATTACCACAAACATCCGATACGCTACTGAAGCAGGTAAGTCAAATTAACGTATCTAAATTCTTTGACATCTAATCTTTGACAAGTAATAAATAAAAGCTAAAATGCAAGACAAATATATAATTTAGTTAATTCAAGTGAATTTCATAAATCATCGGTTTACTACACGTATGTATATTATATAGTCACTTACTAGCGAAAAGTTGTTCCATTATTTCACTCAATTTTTGCCGAGATCTACCGCAAGCTACACAACCCACTATTTTAGAGTCTTTTTCGATAAATCGCGATAGTGTCACTGTTAATTTAAGTGCTGCCACAATTTCCATCTTGATTTACTACCTTTATACAACTATCAGTAGGAGAATAAATAATAAATAACATAAAATAAGCTCCGTAAAGACTGACAAATCCACAAAATTTCAAATCAAATTCAAATGTGTCAAATGAATCGTCAAACAGAACTGTCAAGGATCCCCACCCTAGAGTGCTTTTATGGTGCTTTTTCCGCCCACCATGCATGAATACATGGATAGCATTATGCTCCTTCCTTAGTCTTCTTATTCAACGCCTTAGATAAACGACAGCGATAAAGTTCGATATATTTTTATAGAAAATTTAATTCAACCACCACGTTACTTACCTAAATGTCCATATCCTGAAATCCTAACTGTATCTTCATTAGCCAGTTTTTCTCTCATAGCAGGTACAATAGAATAAAATTTTTCTATTGGCAATGACACATCATATTTAAAAACATAACCGTCTTTAGTATATCCCTCTGTAATACGTTCTCTAAGATCCCATATATGCTAAAAATTATTTAATATGTTTTCAACTTCTATTCGTATACCAATTTTATGTTTTATAAAAAATGCAGAATATCCTTTGTCCAACGGGAGGATCGTTGACGGTTGTGTCTGTCATTTTAATTAACGGACAAATTTTATTTTTTGCCATTTTTGGATGTCGTCTGTCGAAATCTTCCATGAGTCGTTGGAGAAAACTATAATAAATTTGGTCTATGGCTATGGTAATTTAAAAAAAAAAGTTTGACTAAAATTAACAGACGATACCACTCTTTTCTTTTAAACAAAGTTATTTTCATTTATAATGTCATGGAGCGTAGCGACATCTTTCGATTGAATGAAGAACGAGCGATCGCTGTTGCGTGTAATATCCAACGACCGTGTTATTGAAGTGAAACTTCTTTACGGGCGATGGGAGTAAATATTCAAGGCCGCGACACACCATGGTCTTGACACGACACGGCCTTGGCACACGAGCTAGCGAGAAAAAACTGGTAAGTCAATGAGGAAGTTAAGATGGGTCTTTGGAGCGTCCTAAATCGGGCCCTATGTGAGCTGGGATGCAAGTGGTATTGAAGCGATACTTTAGCTAGCTTACCCAAAAGCCTCACTTTGCATTTGGGTACCAAGAGTGCAGGTTGTTACCAACAGCCTCACCTTCACGTGGTGCACCCTGTTTACACAAACGAGGCTCTGACGTCCGAGTATAGGCGCTATAACCTTTACCTTACAACCCTCAGACCTACCATTTTTCTGGGGAAGAAGAGTAATAAACTACACCTAGCCGGCCGAGAACGTAGTACAAGGGAACTATCGTCGCGATCCTCACTGTGCCATACCCATCCCGTGCTACAGTTGCAGCCAAAACTGTGCGGCAACGTAACCGCCACAGTTAAACCTTTTCACGCAGCTAACACACATCAATGATAGAACATTCGAGTGGGAGAAAATCATCGTCCGGAGGTAAAATACCCCCTTAATCGGATCTCCGGGAGGGGGTGCCTACTCGAGCGTATAATCGAAGAAACAAAAAATATCAATGTTTCACGTTTGCGGCGTGGAACGTCCTCACTCTAGATAAATTCAAATCGACCAGACAGAAGAACAGCACTGGTCTCACAGGAACTCCACCGATTAAATATAGACTCTACCGCTCTTAGCGAAACCCGCTTTGCTGATGAAGGTACCTAATCTCACTGAAGGGTCACCCCGCAACACACAGGAGAATTCATGGCGTTGGTATTGCAATCAAAAACGAAATCGCCACCAAATTAACAGAACCTATTGGTGTCTCCGAACGTCTTATGACCATAAGGTACCCCATATCAGACAAAACTTACGTCAACATCATTAGTGCCTACGCTCCCACCCTAGACGCTAAAATTGAGGATAAGGATAAATTTTACCAAACTCTACACAATTCTCTCCAAGAAATTCCAAAGCATGAACGAATCATCTTGCTAGGTGACTTTAATCCCCGTGTTGGCAAACAACAGGAAATTTGGCTTGACGTATTGGGAAAACATGGAATAGGAAACGTAAATAGCAATGGTGAACGCCTATTAACAACATGCACAGAGTATAATATTTGCATTACCAATACGTGGTTCATGTTGAAGGACAAGTTTAAATGTACCTGGAAACATTCCAGATCAGGTTAGTGGCATCAACTGGACCACGTAATCGTTCGAAGGACGCATCTAAAAGATGTCAGACTGACAAAAGCCAGAATAGATGCCGATTGCGGCACTAACCGAAGATTCAGTTCGAATCCGGGTCAGGGCAAAGACTTTTTTATTTTATTTTCGTATATATTCTGATAGTAAAGTATTAAATCATTCTGGAAATTCAAAAAAAACAACAAATATTTAATATCTACTTTACTATCAGAATATAAACGAAAATAAAATAAAAAACTTTTTGCATTGACCCGGATTCGAACTCTGACACCCCGCTTGATAGGCAGAAACTCTACGCATTGAGCTATGGAGAATCGGTCGGTTTATATTCAATACTAGAATTACTAATTATTAACAACAAAACAGTAGAACAGTAGGGAACGCAACGTTTACCGGCAGCTAGACGGGCCGCATGCTGTTCTAGAGAGCATAGTAAAAGATATATCAAAGAGCCAGACGTCTTAAAATACTTGTTTTTCCGACGTTGCTAGCTTTCGTACTATACGGGGTCTAGGGAACAACAACACCGCCGACGCACTCTGGGAAACCATCAAAGAAACGCTTCCACCGATAATTTTAATCTCAATCTTGGAAGCTGAACAAGGCTGGACACAATTAAGGGATGCGATTCATAAAACCAACGAAGCAGTACTGGGAAAGTCGAACAAAAAGAAAAAATCAGACTGGTTTAATGAAAATCAACTGCATATACAGGCTTTGTTGTAACAAAAGCATAGAACACATCATGCAGTCACTGGAAATCCACACAATCCAAGGCTGGTAGACAACTTTAAAACAGCCAACAACACGCTTTGAAGAGAACTGCGCCAACTAAAGGATAACTGGTTGTCACAAAAAGCGAAAAAGATTCAAGAGTACGCCACGCATCACGATTATCGTAAATTCTTCGAGGCTGTAAAAGAAGAATACGGCCCAACCAAGAAGGTGCCCAATCATGACACAAAATGGCGAACTTCTAAAGGTGGAAGAACAAATCAGAAACAGCTGGAAAGAGCATTACAGCCATATCGTTAACCAAGAAAACAACCCCAACATGGAAGCACTAAACACAATAACTCAGTATAACAGCCTCGATTGTATTAGACATTCCAATAACAGAACAGGAAATAAATGCCTCCATAAAATAGCTTAAAAACAACAAATCAGCTGGCTGTGACGCGATTCCATCGGAAATCTATAAGTGTGCAAGTAAAGAACTTATTGGTCATCTTAAGGCTCTCTTCGATGTCATATGGAAAAGCGGAGAGGTACCTCAGGACTTTTCGCAACGCGAATATATAGTGAGTAAATTTAAGAACAAAGGAAGTGCATCAGACTGTGGAAATTACCGGAGAATTGCACTATTGGCTATCGGAGGAAAAATTCATACAAAAATTATGTCAAACCGCCTACACCCCCATATAGAAAGCATCCACCCAGAATGGCAAACGGGTTTTCGCACCAACCGCGGCACTATTGATTCCATATTTTCCATCCGCCCCAACTACAGGAAAAAGTCACAGTGACACGTAGAGCAGCAGTTTAAACTTTATGTTGCATTCATCGACCTAACAAAAACCTTCGACTCTGTGAACAGAGATGCTCTTTGGGTAATTATGAAAAAGTTCGGCGTACCCAACAAATTTCTTACAGTGTGTAAAAGCCTCCATAACAACAACAAGTCAAGAATGTCATCATTCATTGGATCACTGAGCGATCCCTTCCTAACAAATACAGGAGTTAGGCAGGGATGTGTCTTAGTGCCTCTCCTATTCAACATATACATGGCAGCGCTCTCCATTATAGTGGACAGCAAACTGCAGGAGAGAGGATTGGGCATTAGATACAGTTACGACGGCGGTCTGTTCAACATAAAAAGACTCAGGGCAAAAACATGTACAAAATTCATCACAGAACTTCAATACGCTGATGAATGCGCTCTAGTTGCACACACGTTACAACAATTATAAGAAATGTTGAACACATATACCTGGGCATACGAGGCTTTCGGCCTTAAGCTAAACATCAACAAAACCAAAATCATGTTCACTCCCCCGGAAGATCACAACAATTAGTACGAGAGCTAGCAACGTCGGGAAAACAAGTATTTTAAGACATCTGGCTTTTTGATATATCTTTTATTATGCTCTCTGGAACAGCATGCGGCCCGTCTGGCTGCCGATACCCGTTGCGTTCACTACTGCGCATCCAAAGAAGATCCTCTATTTTTTACTTAGCGCTTTAAAGTAGGATTTATAAACTCACAGTTGGATTTGGCTTTGGCGTTGGCGCCGCCGCCCAATTCTTAAAACTGTATATTACCATAAGAGCATTTATAAACACGGTTGGCGTTGGCTTTGGCGCCCGGTTGCCGTCGGACTTGAATTATGTTTAACTTTTTACCGTTCGCGGCGGTTCGCCGTCCGTAGCACCACGTAGCAATGACGTTACAGCCAATAGAATAGTAAAGAGCGATCACGTGTTGCTTTGTTTACATCTAGTTTTGAAGTATGCTAATTCCAAATTTATGGTCACTCCCAATAACCCTAATAGGGTAGTTTCATCAAGACCATTACTTTCCAAATCCATAATTAAAAATCTCGAACAAAAAACCAAAACTTTAAACACTTTCGTCTCTAAAAACGCACTATAGACTCTGCTACTCTTAAGTAAAAAGTAAACAAAAATGTAAGGTTAGATCTGCCCAAAACGGCCAAAGCCATCTGTCAACCGTCGAGTTTATAAATGCGATTTTGCGGCGCTACGAACAGTCGACGGCAAATCCAACGCCAACGCCAAATCCAAAGCCAACTGTAGAGTTTATAAATCGACCTTTAATCCTAGTATTGAATAGAAATCGAGCAAGTCTCCATTAGCTCGGCGCGTAGAGCTTTCGCCTATGAAGCGAAGGTCAGTGGTTCGATACCGGCTGGGGGTGCAACTTTTTTATTTTTTTTCGTTTATATTCTGATAGTAAAGTATTAAATCTTTTGCTTTATTATCACCAGAACGGATGGCGCTTATGGGTTTATGATCCGTAGTGTATATAAGTAGAATTTGATACTTTCATTTGTTTTAAAGGATTATTGTGGTAATTAATTATTAGACAGGTTTAGGATAGTCCGGCTGCCGCGCCGGTAGGTTGCGTTCACTACTGCGCATCACATGTGTACAGGGTGGCCCATTTTTGTGCGTTTTTTGGGATTTCTCGTTTATAATTTCATTTTGAAGATTTAAACATAATATATAAAAATTAACATTTTAATGCTTTATGAAGGTAATTTCTGCCTGTCTTTCTTCAAAATATTTTTTTCAGCTGTTGTTTATTATTTTAATAATCATTTTAATAATACTTTTTTTAACAGATTGTTATCTAAAAGCTACACAAGTTTATTTTCAGTTCAGTTTGTTAAGATAACGATGGAAAACAAAATTATCTGGTTAAATTAAATTAAATAAAATAATAATACTTTTTAAACAAGATTGATTAATGTTAATGTGTAGAAAATAAGCAAATCTAAAGGTAGAATATTTAGTTAGGTACATAAAAAACTAGCAAAGTGTAGCATGCGAAAAAAACGCATCATTGTATCTCCACTCATAAACGAGAAATCCCAGATATCCCAAATCCCAAAAACGCACGAAAATGAGACACCCTGTACCCATGTGATGCGCAGTAGTGAACGCAACCTACCGGCGCGGCAGCCAGATCATCCTAAACCTATCTAATAATTGATTACTACAATAATCCTTCAAAACAAATGAAAGTATCAAATTCTACTTATATACACTACGGATCATAAACCCATAAACGCTATCCGTTCTGGTGATAAAAAAGCAAATATTTAATACTTTACTATCAGAATATAAACGAAAAAAAAATAAAAAAGTTGCACCCCAGCCGGTATCGAACCACTGACCTTTGCTTCATAGGCGAAAGCTCTACGCGCTGAGCTAATGGAGACTTACTCGACTTTTATTCAATACTAGAATTTAAAGCGCTAAGTAAAAAATAGAGAATCTTCTTTGGATGCGCAGTAGTGAACGCAACGTGTATCGGCAGCCAGACGGCCTGCACGCTCTTCCAGAGAGCATAATAAAAGATATATCAAAGAACCAGACGTCTTAAAATACTTTCTCGAAAACGTTGCTAGCTCTTAGACTAAATGCTATAAAAATCGGAGAACAACTGTTGGAATATGTAGCGGAATTCAATTACCTCGGCAGTTTGATTTCGGAAAAGGCCAATATTAACTCTGAAATTCAGCGCAGAATTAGCAGCGCCTCAAGAGCATTCTGGAAATTAAAAGAGAGAGGTTTTCTACAATCATGACTTGAGTACAAAAACGAAACTTGCAGTGTACCGAGCAGTTATAATCCCCACCATGTTATATGGGAGCGAAACCTGGGTGCCGTACCGCCTACACATGAACGCATTAAACAAGTTGCAACAGAGACACCTTAGACAACTCTTAAGAATTCGATGGTTCCATCATGTCTCAAACGTATAGGTCCTTGAAAAAGCTAACTGCGAGAGTATTGAAGTCATGGTTACAAAATCCCGCTTAAGATGGGCTGGTCATGTATGCAGAATGCGAAAAAAACGCAAACCAAAATCTCTGCTTTACGGTGAGCTTGTAGACGGTAAGAGGAGGCCGGGTGGACAACTCAAAAGGTACAAGGACATTTTCCACGAAAACTTAAAGGGGATTAACATGCAGAATGAGTGGGAAGAAGCAGCTCACAATAGAACTCAATGGAGAGGAATTATAAACTCAGTTAACAGCGACAACTGTGCGGCAGATAACATCACGTATCGGGCTTTTCAGTCACAGAAAAGCTCACGAAAGAAAACGCCTTGCGTAACTATCTTCTGATGCGTGTCAAATACTCGTCAGCGAGTAATGGCAGTATGTATGTATGTGACCTAGGGAGCTGAATCTCGGAATGTGTTCTCGGAATCTCGGAAGACTCCCCAAGCCCCATCTTTTCATAATATTTTGACGGCGTTTCGTGCACTATGAAACCCTATCATCAATGGCGAAAAAATCGTCCGATTTAAATGGGTCTTTGGAGCGTCGTAGAGTAGAATGAGTAGAATGAGTAAGAGGGGGGGGGGTTAATCACTGCGACCTTAAAGATCTATTATGCCCCCCTTCCTTGAGTCATCACACAGTCTATAACCATCATACCCCTGTTGTAGAGGGGACAGGGTATTTCCCATCCTCCTCTGACAACAGTTCTTCCTCCGAGGGTACACACCCTTCCACGGTTGGAGTTCCGTGCCACCTTTCACAATCGAGGAGCTTGCCTCGGGCTAAGGAACCCGTGAGGTAGAGGCTGGAGGATCTGTCTCCATTTTCTCTACCTCTTTAACTTTGTCTCACCTTAGACCTGATACTGGCGTTGTCCCGTATCTATAATAGAGTATATGTCCCTCTTTCTCTATTGCCTCCTTGGATTTGAATCAATTCCTATTGTGAGAACCTGACCATGACCCTCCTCCCTCGAGTTGATGACTCCCCAACTCGATGTCCTTACATTGAAGTTCTGACCCTGGATAAGGCTCAGCAGGTAGGTGGTGTCTTTCCCCTTGCTCCTCGGCAGAAAGACCGTGAGGCACGCCACTTTAGGGATGTTTTCTCCCTTCACTGCAACCAGTTCCGGCCCTTGCCAATTTTTAAGCTTAGGTGCGATTTCCACCAACCAATTCGCCGATTCTTGAGATACACAATCGATGAGGATCATGCCCACCTGAAAGTGTATCCTCGCAAAACGCAGCTGACCCACATTTCGTAGATCGTTGTGTTGCGATCCGATCGCCACTACTTCGTCCAGTATAGCCTCTTCTAGAGAAGTTTGCTGGTCGGTTGTCAGAGCAACCTCTGGGAAATCCATTGGCAGCACCGCCATTTTCACTTATCCAGCAATAGTGGCAAAGCTGGTGATACGTCCCTGCTTGCCTCCCGGTGTTGGACGGGTTTCCATCCTGGCTTTTTCCGTCCCTGCCCGAGAAGAGGTGAGAGGTTCTCGCTCCCTTTCTTGTCCTTTGATGGAGATGAGTCAGGTTGTTTCTTGGTTTCTTTACTGTCCCCTTTTCGGAGGAGTGTTTTCGCTTTTGCTTCCTCTGGAGCAAGTCCTTCGTGGAGCAGTCGGAGGTATCTCCGTGCTTCTGCCCCGCTTACACCTACTCTCAGAGGATCGTCTAGCCCGCCTGGTTGACCCAGGCCGGGTAGACGAAACGGTAGCTTGTGTCGCTTATTGGGTCTAGAGGTAGGCTCCCGACTCTTGCTGGAGAAGGTGGTAACTTGTGTGCCACTTGTGGAGGATGATCCCAAGCAAGTGTCAGCCGCCCCTCTTGTAGTTTCCTTTGGATTTGGTCCCTTGGAACTTTTATTTGTAATGTTCCCAGGGTCGCTAGGGGGCTTCCCCACAGCTTCACCGGTGGTGTTTTTAATACTAGATCTCATAGTGTTCCCATGAGTCGCTAGAGATAGTCGGTCCACTTCTACAGAGCCCCGCATGTAGAAGTAAGGGGTAAATACAATGGGGTGCACCCTGATGGCCCTAGATTGGAGCGTCGTAACTCAAGCCCTATGTGAGCTAAGGGGCTGAAATGGAATGTAGATGGGGCTCGTCGAGCCCCATCTTTTCATGATATTTTGACGACGTTTCATGTACTACGCGAAACCTCATCATCAATGAATCAAATCAAAAAATCGTTCGATTTAAATGAAATTTGTTATGTCCATAGATTGAACCAAGGCCAAGTTGACTGTGTACGATACGTGTCATTGTAACAATTAGTTTTGACGTAAGAATCGTTAAAAGTTGATGTCGTCCGATTGCGACCAAATTTGGTGGGTAGGCTATGTGAGCGACGGTGCACACGGTCCACTCTGCAAATTTATATACGACGTATCATTTACATCTTCCTCACGTGGGACTAACGATTTGTTATTGAAGAAAAATGTGGATTGATTTCAAGGTTATTAAAAGGTAAGGTTGTCTCGTAACTCGATCCGCCATTATCGAAAACGTCATCTACTACGTCATAGGAATGATACCACTCATAGATAAAGGGATAACAACTGCCCACAGTCCGACAGTGCATTTCCGAATCGATATTCATTGTGTACTTTATTGTTTATAGTGTATGGCGTCAATAGTTTTCAGTTGTTTGATGTGTGTTTTCTTTATTGTATTGTCCATTTATCTCTCTTTGTCGGTTGCATTTTATTTTTTATTCCTTTATCCCTCCCCTATGATTTTATACGTTCTGTAGCATCCCTGTGACGTAGTTGCAGCTTCGCTCCTATTGGTTCGAAAGTTACGAGACAACCTTATCTTTTAATAACATTGGGTTAATTTCAGCATAATTAGGGATGGGCTACAAGATGAATGATACCTCGTTTCGAACCGATCTAAATTGACGAAATCATCAGGATTTTTCTTAATTATTAGTCGATTGGAACCAAACTCAGCACGTCGATAGAGGTACCCGAATGGACTCCTCAGACAGACGGAAGTAAGAAATTTCACTTCAAGTATGCGGCACATAGTGCACACACAATTTTTTTTTGATGCGGGTACACTGCATTATTTGTTTTTATAAACAAACCTTCATTTTATTTATTTCATTTGTTGTGGTCCCATCTAGTATATATTCTTCGGCTATTGCATCTTCTAAAAATTTATTTAATTTCTCTTGATCGTGTTCATTGTTACTACCGTGTGTTTCAATTAACATGTAAAATGGATATTGAGACAAAGGTGACTTCAGTTTCAAATTATCTGTACACACATCCAAAGTACTTGCATCAATCATCTCGCAAGAAGACAAAATTTCGGCAAGTTCCTGCTTAGCCCGCTTTAAAGTTCTAAGAATATGTTCAAACGACTGTAGACCTAAAACATCAAATTAAAATAATATGTAGCATATAATAAACTAATTAAAATATCAGAATGATAGAGATTAAAATTTTTATGGGTACTGCACTGCAAGAAAATCGACAAAATAAAATAATTATTTTTTGTAAACACTTCTGCGTTAAACCTAAACGGACGCTGCTTGTTAAGGTGCGTATTCATTATCCGCACGAACGAACGAACGAACGAACGAACGAATGAAAGTGCGGTATATTTAGACGGGGACCGAACGCATGCGGCCGTTCGTTCGGTCGTGCGCTCGACCATCCGCTTCGAGTCGTTACATCAAAGGCGTTCGCCTGCGTGCGCTTTCAGATTTAAGGTGCGTATTCATTATCCGAACGAACGAACGAACGAACGAACGAACGAATGAAAGTGCGGTATATTTAGACGGGGACCGAACGCATGCGGCCGTTCGTTCGTTCGTGCGCTCGACCATCCGCTTCGAGTCGGTACATCAAAGGCGTTTAGACGTCATGGTACAAAGAATACGAGGTATGATCGATAGCGGCTCCAATTTCGTTCAGTTCGCGCATACCACCTGTGACGACACTAGGAAAATAATGAATAAATAAAAAATAAAGAAAGTTGACAGGAGATCTGCATTTTTGAGGTTATGGTTAAGAATTGTTTATTTTTAAGACTTTTTAGTTCGTTTAATTTAATAATTACTAAAACCAGCAGTTCCAAAAATATATTTAAAAATAATAATTATCTATTAACATGGATTTGGACGATAGGTAAGAATACTGAATTTATTTCTATATTCGGTATAAAATTGTTTATTAGGTTTTTAGTTTGCGATGTTTATGGTAAATAATTTTCATTTTCATTGCCTCTGAATTCACATGAGGACAGAGTTGAGGATATCTATGGAAAAGTAACCACAAGAGGAATTGTTACATCATTTAAAAAATATTGGGAAGTTTATTGTTTCCCATCGAAAAGTAGAAAATGCCAATGCAGATGAACGTATTGTAATTGTGATAGAAGTAATTCTAAGGGTGAAGTTTATTATAATTAGTGGAAGTAATACCAAGGGTGAAGTTTATTATAATTAGTGACCTCTGCTTCTTTTTATATGTAGAAGTTTCTGGTTTTGAGAATAAATCGGTTGAACGACACCCAAAATTTAAAGGAAGTATTTGCATACCCAGAATATGCCCATCAAGGATTATATAGCTCAAATTTCCTTTAATGGTAGGCAATTATTCAATGCAAATTAACTTTTTAAGTGACTAAAATATTAAATAGTTTACAATATGGTATATCACTAAAAATATATTACTTTTAGGTACAATTAGGGCCCGATACATTTCAAAAAGTAGAATATTATTTTATATTAAATGAGGTATTGTACTAACAATCAATTTATATTAATAACGGAGATTAAAAATAACAGAATAAATAGTTCTTTTTCTTATACTACAAAAATAAACTATAGAATACAACAGTATTTAAAAAAAAATAAAAAGTGATGTTCCGGCCGAGATTCGAACTCCGGTCTCTCGCTTCCTAGCCCGACTCCTTATGCACTGCTCCATAGTAACTTGCTTAGCGATAATTCAATGACGGTATATAAACAAAAAAAAACAGGTTTATAACAATATTTTGACGATTTGAACTGGCGCGCGAATGAAGAAATGCATGCGGTCTTCTCGTGCGGTCCTATCGTGCGGTCCCCGTCCATACCACTAGCGTACGTTCGTTCGTTCGTTCGTTCGTTCGTGCGGATAATGAATACGCACCTTTAGAAGTTATGTTTACAGTAATACAAATTTGCCTAACAAAGAAAAAAACGCCTAACGTTTCGGAAAGTTATCTCTTTCCGTCGTCGGAAGCAAAAAAAATACAAAGAATAAAGAAAAAAACTATTTAAAATATTTAAATTCAACTATTCGAGAACACTTTACTTTTTTAAAACAGATACCATTTTTTTTACAGATATATTTTTTAAATAGATATTTTATTACAGCATTTTTTTCTTTGTTAGGCAAATTTGTATTACTGTAAACATAACTTCTGACAAGCAGCGCCCGTTTAGGTTTCGCAGAAGTGTTTACAAAAAATAATTATTTTATTTTGTAGATTTTCTTGCAGTGCAGTGGCGAAATACCCATAAAGGATTTCTTTGGAGAGATGAATCCGCCACATAGGTATAGACATTTTTATAATTTTTAAACATATTGATACAGTAAAAAATAAAAAAAAACTAATTTTTCAAAAATAAATATATCAGTAACTGGATAGGATTATGAAACTTTATTTTTGTTCATTTCCATACTTCCTACCACTTAGACCACTTAGAACTTAAATAATTACACTTCTTCAATTATTTTGGTGTTTATTCACAAAAACTGTCACAAAAAGTGTGAGATAGAAAAACCGAGGAATTAATTCTTAAAAAGAATCCTAAATAATTCAGATAGCATATTGTTACGTTTTTTATTCGGTTCCGTGTGGATAGAAAGTCACAATTTATTTAAACACTATTTATTTAACACTAATTAACAAAAACAATAACGATAAAAGACTTAAAGAACTATTTACAAACGATTTATAACTAAGAATTTATATTTGAATTTTAACGCGTCAACTGTACTCGTCTATTTATATAACTGCCCTCTCTAGGCCCCAGCCGGCGGCTTTTATACCAACAGCTAAAGATCTCTAGAATAGTCCATAGATCGTTAGGTGCATAGAGAAGGTTTCGATTGTTCTCGTATGTACTACTCCATTAAATTCCAGTGGAACTCGATTCTTCTCGAATCTTCGAATGAATCATTACGGTGTCTATTCTTTAATGCGATGTTAAGGTCAGCCGAGGGCGGGCCATATAGTTAGGTTAGGTCGAATCCACACCGGCCCGCAACAATATGAATGCATATTGTGCCAAATACACTTGGGTATTTAATGTAGTGCTGTCAAGAATCAGTGAAATGAAGTGTTGTTAAATGTAGAGTTGCGGTTTTACGTAAAGTGATATAACGACCCTCTAACCTAATTACATCGATCTGATATCTATTGGAGTCCCGATTTCTAATGTTTTTTTACTTCTAACCTGAATTTTCCAAGTCGTTTTTAAATATTTCTAGTCGATGTGTCAACACTGGATACTGGGCATCGAACAAGCCAAGATCCAGGTAATTTGCGACTGATTATCGACTGCTGGCGGCGCCGTTGTTGCAATTATTTTTTTTAAATTTTCAAACTAATATAACTCGGTCATTATCTATTTATTTTAAAAATGGTAAAGAGAAAATATGTTTCTTTTGACCAGATCTATTTGTGGGACACCCTGTATAACGAAGAATAAAGACAGAAGATAGGGCATCAATGCAATGCGTCCAGTAACCGCGAAATATTACACCTGGTGGATATTGCAGCCAAAATAAATTAAGATTTTTAAAATAGTTACTTTTTATATTATACCCACCTAAAAATGCTAAATTGACGGCTCTGGGTTTCGGTGGACACTGTAATGCCACTTTAGTAACAATACCAAGTGTTCCTTCAGAACCAATAAAAAGGTGCTTCAAGTGAAAGCCAGTGTTATCTTTTTTCAAGGTGCTAAGGAGATCAATTACTTCTCCATCTGCTTTTACCTAAGAAAAATATATAATTAGTTTCTTTAATAATATTTGATTGTGAATGATATATTTGATTGTGATGATATTTGAATAATGCATAATGAAAGGTATAAACATTAGGGTGGAGCGAAAACTGGGTCCAAATAACTAATTTTCACAAATGAATCTGCCTGGGTCCGCAAAAGATGCTTTTAAAGATTTTTAGTTACCCAAAACATTCTGAATGCCCTTAAAAATTTTTTTCGTCAGCCGAAATGAATTTGAAAAATTAAAAAATGATAAGCCAATAAAACTCATAAAAAATCAAACGTGCAGCTCTCGGCAAATATTTCTCGAGTATTTCAAAAGATTGGCCAATTTGTCATTTTTTTCAAGAAAAATTACCCGGAACTCACCAAGTGGAGTTGTGAGCTGCATCTCGAGTTCCCAACAATTACGGGATTTGTCACTTTTTTAACTCCTCAAGAAGGTATCGAGATTTACTAATAATACTAAATAAATGCCTGACCCCGTACTTGCATGACCACTTAATTTCAAACCAGCATACGACATAAACTTGAACCATAAATTTAGTTAATATTTTTAGATTACAGTTGAGGGTTGGAACCTTTGGTGTTACACAGCAAAATAAAACACTAAATCACCACAATACACCAAAACACTTTTACTTTTACACTGGACGCGCGTTTCGTATAAACTGAAAAAAAAACTCAGTCTATAATCATCTGCTGATGATGCTAACATGGTTGGTGTATTGTGGTGATTTAGCGTTTTATTTTGCTAATATTTTTAGGTTTTGAGAGAGATTTTTGGTAGCAACATATAACCTTAGAACTCTATTGGCTGTAGTAAACCATCCAGGGACCTGTAGTTCTGCGGCTGATCATCCTCCACAAGTGGCACACAAGCTACCACCTCTTCCAGCAAGGGTTGAGAGCCTACCTCTAGATCCAATAAGTGACATAAGCTACAGTTTCGTCTACCCGACCTGGGTCAACCAGGCGGGCTAGACGATCCTCTGAGAGTAGGTCTTAGTGGTGCAGAAGAACGGAGATACCTCCAACTGCTCCATGAAGGACTTGCTCCAGAGTCCAGAGGAAGCAAAAGCGAAAACACTCCTTAGAAAAGGAAAGAGTAAAGGAACCAAGAAACAGCCTGGTGCATCTCCACTAAAGGGTAAGAGAGGGAGCAAGAACCTCTCACCTCTGCTCCGGCAAGGACGGAAAAAGCCAGGATGGAAAGCCGTCCAACACCGGGAGGCAAGCAGGGACGTATCACTAGCTTTGTCGCTATTGTTGGACAAGTGGAAATGGAAATGTGCTGCCAGAGGATTATCTAGAGGTAGCACTGACCACTGACTAGTAAACGGCTCTAGAGGGGGCGATACTGGACGAAGTAGTGGCGTCCTGATTGCAACACAAGGATCTATAAAATGTGAGTCAGCTGCGTTTTGCGGGGATCAGGGCCGGCGAAAGAGCAGGGCGGCCCGGGCGGCCGCCCAGGGCGCCGTATGCGAGGGGCGCCGCGGCAGCAAGTAAAATATTTAAAAAATATTTGTTCGTGGTATTATACTTATAACTCAAAAGATCTCAACTTTTTGTAAATAACCCTTCTTTTTATAATTCTTGTTTTTATAAATTTTCTCTAAACAAGCTGTTTTGGGTTGGCAGTTTTAGACTGACCGCTCAAAATCGCACTTTGTCGACTATTCACACCCTTTATTTGTTATTAATGGCTGATTTGTCCTAAAAATTATATGAGGCAAATATACATTCGCAAGAAGCTGAAGAGGATCCCGATATCCTTAATATCAATAAAAGCTTATAAGTGCCTCATGCATTTAATTAATTTATTAACAGTAGTGGGAAAATATATCAATCTTATGTAGTAATACACAAAAAATGGTAGCAGAATCGTAAAATTTTCTCACTAGAGCAAGACAAAGGAATATGCTTCTCAAACACTGGATGATCGTTATTCTAAGTCGACAAAAGTGTATCTGATCATATACTGATTCTGCATGAAATAATTGATCAAAAGTGGCTCGCCCATATAACTTGGTTATTTTTTTAGATGGGAAAACGAGATTTGGTATATTATTTTGTTAGTATACAACATAAATTAGGATTAATTGACGTATTCAATTGTTTTTGATCGCTTCCTGTTTTACCGGAAATTACTACAACTTTTGATTTTTAAATAGCATCCTCGGTATATTTCTGCTACGATAGAAAATCTGTGAATAGAAATATTAAGGAAGGAGTATAGGTAATGCTATCCATGTATTCATGCATGGTGGGCGAAAAAAGGACTCTAGGTTGGGGATCCTTGACAGTTCTGTTTGACGATTCATTTGAAACATATGTAGATAAGTTGTTTTATTTTGTAGTAATTTCCGGTAAAACAGGAAGTGGCCAAAATCAACTGAATACGTCAATCAATCCTAATTTATGTCATATACTATCATACGAAATATTACGTTTGTACCAAATTTCGTTTTTTATCTTAAAAATAAAAAAAATTATAGGAGTGAGTCACTTTCGAGACGTACCCGGTAGAGAAAAAAACAAAAAACAACAACCTTAGACTAAGATTGAACGAAGAGAAGAATTTTGAAGGATCTTTAAGTGAAACTTTATTGTTAAAGTAGCATAAAAATATGCTTAGTTGTAGCTAAAGTATAATATTGAAGGAAAGAAAGAATTATAATAACTATTAGGGGAGGGGGGGGCGCCAGATAGTGTACTCGCCCGGTCTCAATATTTCCCTTCCGCCGGCCCTGGCGGGGATACACTTTCGGGTGGGCATGATCCTCATAAATTGTGTATCGCAAGAATCGGCGGATTGGTTGGTGGAAATCGCACCTAAGCTTAAAAATTGGCAAGGGCCGGGACTGGTTGCAGTGAAAGAAGAAAACATCCCAAAAGGGGCGAACATCACGGTCTTTCTGCCGAGGAGCAAGGGGAAAGACACCACCTGCTTGCTGAGTCTTTTTATCCAGGCTCAGAACTCCAATGTAAGGACATCGAGTAGGCGAGTCATCAACTCGATGGAGGAGGGTCATGGCAAAGTTTACAGGTCCTCACAATAGGAATTGGCCTCAAATCCAAGGAGGCAATAGAGAAAGAGGGATATATCCTCTATTATAGATACGGGACAACACCGGTATCAGGTCTAAGGAGAGACCAAGTTAAAGAGGCGGAGAAGATTGAGACAGATCCTCTAGCCTCCACTTCACGGGTACCCCAGACGGAGACAAGCACCTCGACTGTGAAGGGCACGGAAGGCCAAACTCCAACCGTGGAAGGGTGTATACCCTCGGAAGAACACCTGTTGTCAAAGGAAGATGGGAAATACCCTGTCCCCCCTACAACATGTATGGTGGGTTATAGACTGTATGATGAGTTATTTCCCGAAAATGCCAGTAGGCATTTGTGTGTTTTGATCCAGTAGTTCTTCCGTCTAAATGATTCAGTAAGTGGCGTAGTTGCAATTCGTTAGTATGTAACAGACAAATCATCCACTAAAATGGTCTTTTAATCTCATTCTATGGCTGGAATCACTCCGTTTTTATAACCGGTATTAACCATAAAGTATTAACTACGGTTCCGTCACAACCAATGGCCACAATGTCATTTAAATCAACAGAATTTTGTAAAAAGTTCATTATTATTGATATTTTAATTGCATTGGCACACCCAGATGTTAACATATTGACTGTTGCGATGATGACTAATAGTCCTAAATAGGACTGGCTAAAATCCACGTTTATCGCCATCCCAAAGAAAACAAATCCCAAAAACTGCGGAGACCATAGACTCATAAGCTTAATGAGCCACGCACTTAAAGCGTTTCTTCGAGTCATCCATTCTAGAATATACAGGAAGTGTGAAGAGATGAGTGGCGACACACAGTTCGGCTTTATCAAGGGTCTTGGCACTAGAGAAGCTCTCTTCTCTGTGAAACTACTTGTGCAGAAATGTTATGATCAGAGGCAAGATGTTTTCATCTGCTTTATTGACTATCAGAGAGCCTTTGATAACGTAAAACACGAACCGTTGATGGAGAGACTACAGGAGATAGGCGTGGATGGCAAGGACATCAGAATAATTAAAGAACTGTATTGGCAGCAGTCGGCGGAGATCCGTATTGATGGTGATCGAACAACGGAAACCTTCACAGTATTGAAGGGAGTTCGGCAGGGATGTGTACTATCACCCATTCTGTTTAACATCTACGTTGAGAAAATCTTTCAGATGGCCTTGGAGAGTGAGACGCGGGGTATTAAAGTCAATGGCATCCCAATAAATAATATCCGCTATGCAGATGACACCGCAATTCTGGCTAACAACCTTGAGGACCTCCAGATTCTGCTAAAAAAACTGAACGAATGCGGTGAACAGTTTGGGCTCCATATTAACGTTGCGAAAACTAAAATGATGGTGCTCGGCAGACACCAGTACAACACTCATCTTAACATCAATGGAGAGAACATCGAACGGGTCACAAATTTCACCTATCTTGGCGCCTCCCTAAATGAACGGTGAGATTGCGATGAGGAAGTTAAAAGAAGAATCGGCCGTGCAAAAACTGTTGAGGTTTGTGGGATCTTTTGTGGAAAATAGACGCTATAGTTTAGGAAAAACTTTATATTGATCAACTTGACAGAAAAACCTTTTACATTAATAAATGCGCATAATTTTCTAAACAAGACATAATAATTCTCATAACCTCTAAATTATATATCAGCTGATTAGCCACAGAATACATAGAGTATAGAGTAATAATAACATAGAGTATCATTCTTATCACACCCCCTCAATTTAAAGTTTTATATATAAATTAAATTGCCCAAAACATTAATAAAAAAAAAATCTTAAATTTATTTTGCTAAAATGCCATTTCGAAAATTAACAAATTTTTCTTTTGAAAGAGATTTTGTAAACATATCGGCATAATTCTGAGATGAGCTAACATATTTGATTGTAAATACCTTTTTCAAACATAAATCTTTT